CGTTTCACATCCCCAGAGATTCTTGCAGACATCCACACCTGCGGGAGTTGCGGGATTCCTGTTAGGCGCAAAAAGCGCCTCACACTGGACGCTGTACCAAACGTCCTAATCATACACCTCAAGCGCTTCAACGCTCTTGACTCGCGCAAGGTCAAAGGGAAGATTGACTTTCCCACAGATCGGCCTCTTGATCTTGGTCCATTCCTCTCCAGGTGCCACGGACCAGACTGCAGACCTCTCTCTGATCCAGGCCCACATCTATATGAACTTAATGCGGTGGTGAATCACCACGGTGACATAAATAGAGGCCACTATACTTCATTTGTCCAGGAGGGAGGTCACTGGTTTCTCTGTGATGATCACCACATTGCCCTGGTAGATGTGGACACTGTGAAGGATAGCGAGGGATATATACTTTTCTACGTTCGCAAAGTGCTGACTAAACTGACATCAAAATAACCGGGAGCCGTGGAGTTGTCGGGTCCATGCGTTGCAGTGTGCTCATCGCAGCACCGCTATGCTACCGATGCAGGGGAAAGAAGCGTCGCATGCACCCAGGCCCACTAAGGGGCGACAGGACAGTGAGCACTAGCCTGGTGGAGCCCACCGCCCCCTGGCAAGTGCCGGACAGCCGGTTGTGGTGTTGGTTTCGACCCGACCTTAGGGCCGGCGGCGGCGGCGGCGGGGGGGGGGGAGAACCCCCAGGCTAACCAGGAATAGGACGGCCATGCCCGACTCCGAGTCGCATAGCCCCCGGGCCCTGCCCGATGAGAGTAGAAATCTCCCTATCTCTCTAGTGACGCCGCCTACGCCGGCGTCACTGGCCTCTGAAACGCCTGAGGCGCGTAGGTCGACATCTCGGCCGTGTACACCCAGGATTTTTGGCTCGATCGGCGTTAGTCGGCGCCTAATGGATGGATTCACAAAAGGAAACGCGGGTGTACACGGCGCGATTTTCAACATTTTCCAGCCTCGAAAATATTTTCCCCCCATAGGGAAAAAAACCGAGGCTTCGCGAAGCCATAACTTTACGAAATCCGGGTCGATTTCCACGAACCCAGACTCTTTGATTATCAGTCAGACGCCCTCTATCCATCGCACTGGCGGCGCCGCCAAATTCGACGATCTGCAATCGGCCGATTTTGTCCCCAGCAGTGCCCAAGCTGGTTACACAATGGCCGCCGCCGGCAAGGCATTGTACGAGCACAGAAAAGTCTAAGAACACGAGCCAGCCAGCACGAGCGATGGCGAAGTCACTAGCAGTTCTGGTATTTTTTATGTTGGTCAAAACAGCCTTCGGAGATGAAGAATATGAATTTTGGGAGGCAAGTAAGCTGGGCGATGTTGAGGCAATGAAAGAAATACTAAATTCGGTTCCGGAGCTTGATCTAGATTATCACGATGATGATGGCCAGACACCTCTACTCTTGGCGGTGTTAGGACATCATGCGAAAGCTGTGCAATTCCTGACATCTCGAGGTGCGGACATCGAGGTCAAGGGTCGCTGGCCTGCGCCAGAAGACGCACCGCTAGCCGTTGCGGCACGTCTTGGCGACCTGGACCTGCTTGACGTGTTGCTTCTTGGTGGGGCGAATGTCGGGGCAGCAAGTGGACCTGATGGACGAACACCGCTCATGGTCGCGGCGGCAGCAGGGAAGCTTGATGCCGTGGACATGCTCCTAGGTGTTGGCGCGGCCGTCGATGCCACGCGTGGCGATGGCACTACAGCAGCTTGTTGGGCTGCACGTGGTGGACACGGTGATGTCCTGCGACTTCTGCTGGATAATGGCGCGAACGTCAATCATGTGAGCGTGAATCTTGCTTGCACAAATATCAGGCGTACACGCAGGTTGATGTGCTTGACGGCTCTTCCTTGCTTCACTTCGCCGCGCAGGCCTCAACTGCCGAAGCCGTTGAGATTGCGCTCGAG